ACAGCAGTGTCGGAACGTGCAGTGTTCATTGGAGGGTATTTCTCAACCCATTTCCTCTGTCGTAGTGTGTATAGTTTGTTAGTATAAGATCCATCATATCCCCCCACAGCAGTTAGCTCCCTGTCAATGATGACTAGTCTAGAGTTCTGATATGGACATGAAGGAAGTTCCTCCCATTTCTCTGTACTACATTCATATTGGTAGACTGAGTTGGAGTCACGTGGGGTGAAGTATGCAAATCGACCATCAGTTGTTGCAGATCCTCTGAACATTTCACATGGTGCTGTCTTCTTACGATGACACTGCACTGTGAGCTGAGGGGAGATCACATGACATGTAATGACATCATAATCATGAACGATATCCGTAACATGACTCACATAATAATTAAACATTGTTTTTAAAAATCAAAAAATAACAAAACGGACATCATTAATTAATAGGCATTTTTGCATATTTGTGTGACATATTAAAAGGCATCGTTAGCTCCTGCATGATAGTGAAAGTGGAACAAATATTTAATGTACAAACCTTTCTGGGTTTAATATTGACTTGTGTGGAATGTGGTATAGCTGTTGGTAGAAGACTAGACTGGGTCTGGGAGGGTGGAGTAACAAATAGCAGTATTCGCAGGCAGTGGATAAAGAGTTAATATCTAAGATAGCAGTATATAATTGGCGAGCGGGAGCTAGTGGTACAAACGGCGCGATTTTTCTATTTTCTCGTCCACGCACTCCTTTTTATCCGAAACACATTTCAAATATTTACACCGTATATTTCTCGGAGACCGGAGCCTCGGGGAGGCTGTCGGCCGAGCCCATCATCATGAACGTGGCGTTGTTTTTTACTTTTGATTTGGTGTTTGAGAGGAAGGGAAGCACGACTAGCGAGAAGTCGTGTACGAGCAAGAGCGACACGTGCTGCGGAATCAGAGGAAACGCAACAGGCAAGGCTCCAACAGATCCGAAGCTATCAGACAAGGCGAATTGCCACAGGAATCAACAGCTTTTTTGGACACCCCTCTAATAAGGAGTAGGAGGACACCCCTGAAATGAGGACACATCTCTAATAAGGAGTAAGGACACCCCTGAAATGAGGACACCTTTCTAATAAGGAGTAAGGACACCCCTGAAATGAGGACACCTCTCTAATAAGGAGTAAGGACACCCCTGAAATGAGGACACCTTTCTAATAAGGAGTAAGGACACCCCTGAAATGAGGACACCTCTCTAATAAGGGGTAAGGAGTAAAGACACCCCTGAAATGAGGACACCTCTCTAATAAGGAGTAAGGACACCCCTGAAATGAAGACACCTCTCTAATAAGGAGTAAGGACACCCCTGATGAGGACACCTCTCTAATAAGTACATATATTAATGTAGTGCATTCACCTACTAGTTATATACATCTGTTGCTAGACAACCAGACTGAGTCTGAGAGGAATGTATTATTCACAGCCAGTAAGACTGACCTTTGTCCTCTGAGTCGGCTCTGAGTCTCTCTGCTGGAGGGTCTTCTGGAAGTCAGCCACTAGAGCCTCACTTGATCGCAGCTGTTCCTCCTGCAGTCAGGAGGACCTCTAGTCACAAAACATGACACATCCTGCAGTTATCACTATTCACCTTCTGTCTCAGCTGCTGCTGAGTCTCAGCTGGCTCTCTCTCCTTCCTTGTTAGCAATGACACCTTCTCTCTTAGCTCCCTGTCCTTGGCCTGCACTAACTCAGTCTCCTGCAGTCAGGAGGACCTCGTTACACTGCATTAGTTCCACAGACTAGACTAACCCGTCTCTGTGAGCTGATGAGCTGTTGTCTGCTGGATTGGACCTCTTCTTCCTGAAGTTGTACGTTCACATTAGCAGGGATGCTATATATAATAGTTTTACCTTCTGTCTCAGTTGCTGATGTTCTCTCCTGATAGTCTCCTCTGCTCTTGTCAGCTCTGCTCCTTGTCTAGCTAACTCTTCCTCCTAAAATCAGAAACACAAAGTCATCATCACCTACGTAGACACATGGCAAATTTACCTTCTGTCTCAGTTGCTGCCGAGCCTCAGCTAACTCCCTGTCCTTGGCCTATGAGAGAGAGGATTCGTGCCAGTACTCATTATGCTTCTACCACGGCAAACCGATTTGCCACGGCAATGACGTAATGTAATTCTGGGGGAGTATTGCCACAGCAAAACTGAGTGACTGTCTTTACCTGATTCCTGGAGTGTAGTTCCTGCACGCTTGACTGGAGATCTGCATTCTCCTGATATTGTCCGAATTCGCTATCAAAACTCTGTTGTTATGACAGTATGGGGGAGTCCCTCACCTGGTTCCTGGACTGCAGCTGTTGCTGTAGCTCCTGCACACGAGACTGCAGATCTCTCTCAGAACTCTGCACAACACAAATCACAGTTTCAGTTGCAGAGACCACAGCATTACGGCACCTCACCTGGTTCCTGGGCTGGGTCTGAGCAGCTTGCACCTCTTCCCATCCGCTGTCCCTGGCTCCAGCTCTGGCCTCCTCCAACAGACGCAGCACCTCACGAATGCTCGGGCGCTTGTGAGGACCGTTGTGCAGGCATTGCTGGATCAGCCGAATGAGAGGGTGGTCCCCACGGAGCTGGCCACTGGCACGGAGTTGCTCGTTCACGTGTCGCATGTACTCAGCGCGTCGCTGTAGTTCAGTGCGAGCTACTAGCAACCCAGTTTCTTCATCGAGATAGGTTGCAGCAACGGGATCGCAGGGGAAGACCTCACCGATTGTGAAAATGGCAACTACTCCAAGAGAGAAGACATCGATACTGGCATCGTACTTTGACTTTTGGGCATTCGATTTAGCAGGAGCACTGGCTTCGGGAGGCATGTAGACTGAGGCCCCAGGTCCCTTTGTCATGGTGGCTGCAGTTCTCATACGAGGCACGATACGAGCCACGCCCAGATCCACGATCTTGGCCACCATCCCCGAGTTCAGGAGAACGTTTCTGGCCGACAAGTCGCGGTGGATGACGGGCGGCGTTCGCTCGTGGAGGTAGGCTAGACCGCACGCCACGTTGTGCAGGATCGAGCACTTTAGGCTCAGCGGGAAGAACGGCTTGGGCGTGTTCGGCGGGGGAGGCGGGTCCGTTTCTGGGTCCAGCAAGTCGTGAAGACTCGTCAGCAGTCGCTCCATGACGAGGGCTGGCAATCGCGAGCCTGGAAAGAAGGCGACGCCCAGAAACTTGACGATATTCTGGTGGTCGAGGGTGCTGATAAGCTGACATTCCCTCACGAACTGGGCAGTGGCTCTGCGGATCTCGGCCGCGGGGATCTCGGAGCGGTCCAGGAAGATGTCGTGGATCTTTTTGGCGGCGCAGATGGCTCCAGGCACGGCCACCTCCTCCACGCTGCCGTAGGCTCCGGCGCCGATTCTGATGCCAGTGAGTCGCACGTTGGGGAGGACGAACGGCCGCAGCTCCGGATACTCGGCGAGAAGGCCTTCCGCGGCCATTTTTCGTGCTGTGGGTCACGACAGTCTGATCTTGCTGGTCTCTCAGTAGCCACGGTTTAAGATGAAGATGACGACCAGGGCCCCAGCTCTCTGCGCTGGGTCCGGGTGTGTGTGTGTGTGGGTCGCGCCCCAAAAATGTTATAACAACGTGCGCATGCGTGCGTCCTGTTAGTGGGAATGCTGATTGATACACAGAACGAAGATGAACCACCACTGTAAGTAACTTTGTATATGGACAACTCAAAAACTATATCCCCTCTGTTAAAAAAACTTTGAGCTAGCCTATGCACATTTCTCTGTGGGCTGGGTCTGAGCAGCTTGCACCTCTTCCCATCCGCTGTCCCTGGCTCCAGCTCTGGCCTCCTCCAACAGACGCAGCACCTCACGAATGCTCGGGCGCTTGTGAGGACCGTTGTGCAGGCATTGCTGGATCAGCCGAATGAGAGGGTGGTCCCCACGGAGCTGGCCACTGGCACGGAGTTGCTCGTTCACGTGTCGCATGTACTCAGCGCGTCGCTGTAGTTCAGTGCGAGCTACTAGCAACCCAGTTTCTTCATCGAGATAGGTTGCAGCAACGGGATCGCAGG